GCCTCAATCTTACATGCTGGTTACCGTTGATGAATCTGGAAATTTAACACCTTTAAACAATGACGCTCTAATGTCACTGGACCCGAGTTTAGGTGTTGGTGGAGATATCAATAACGTGGTGCTACAAGTCGATCAAACTCAAGGTACCATTGCTGCTGTAAAGCCCACGGCGGAACCCACTGTGTCTACTACAGCTTCAAAGGAAAATTGGTCGACGGTAAGAATTAAATTCTTAACCTAATCCAGTGGTAAACTTATTGTTGTTTTGCGTAGGGCGATGAAAAATCGAAGCTTCCGGCGCTCAAAGCAAGCCAGCGAGAACCGAAATTGAGTAATACTGAACAGCACAAGCCCGCAGTTCCGTCAATAACAGTAGAACAACAGGTGGTGATTGGGGACGGCATTCTTCCTGGAGGTAAGAAAAAATTTACCGCCCTATAAAAACTCTATTTTGTTATTGATTTCATTCCTTTTTTTGTTAGTTAGATATTGAAATTATGTAGTACCATTAAGGCAATTTTCTAGGGAAAAATCAAGACCGATTTTCTCACTTAAAATTGCTTAAAATAAATTTCTGCCGATTTTCATTAAATTAAACATTTTCCGATGGATTTCGGAACTGAAAATTCGTCGGGCCTTTAGCATTGGCATCTGCATGGAGAATTAATTTACAATTACGTAGTCATAACAAAATAGTCAATTATTGTCGGAACGTTGGAATGAGCAGCAACATCGGGAACTATTGAAAGGATAACCGAAATTTTAATATTTCTCGATTGAGTTCGGAACTAAAAATTCGTGATTGCATTAGAAGACCATAAAAACATGTCTTTTTTCTTCAACTTGATAAAGGGGAAATTTTTCTATGTAGCTAGTATGTCATTATAAATTATTACATTTGTTTATTTCGATAGGGAAATATTTTTAATTCCTATTATTTTCTAGAACCTGGTGGCCAACAGCTGATTGTAACAGGCGACCCGACTGCTACTCGAAAATTCCTCGAATCCATTTCAGATGGAACTACTGATTTGGCTAACATTTTGGCAAGCGCTGAGAATGGCAATGTTTTAGTACAGGCGGATGGACAGCAAATTTTAATAAGAACCAATACTTCTGCTCAGGCTGTTCTTGGAACCGCCGAAAGCAATACGGTAGGATTTAAATTGATATGGAACTGCTTAATTTTAGCAGAGTTTAAGACTGTCCTTAATATTTAGTAGACGATATAAATATTAGGGTACAGCACCGAATTCTCCGATACCCTGCAGCACCAAACCTTTTATATTTTTCGAAATAATTGGAAAACTACATTCTTCTCATAAAACATATTTTATGATGCACTTCTTAAACACAAAAACTTTGATAAATGTGCTGTTAAAATTCGAATTTTCTGCACTTTGACGCACTAATTAACGAAGCTGTGTAATGACAATTTGTCTCCAAATTAGCTTTTCTAAAAATGATGTTTGTTGCAGGATACTACTAGTAGTTCATTGTTCGCATCTCATAAGCCAAATCAAGATATTTTGGCCGCGGCGTTGGCGAACACAGACGTGTTTCCATCGACCGATCAACCAACGGTTCACTCATCAATTTTAAAAGGGTCTCCCTCCCAAGTAAGTCCGGGAAGCGCCCTCTTTCCCATGCACGTTGGAAATGTGTTAGAGACGAGCTTGACATTGAGCTCGCCTATAATGACGCCTTTAGAAATCCCTAGCACTAACAGCAAGAAAATTGACGCGGAAGCTGATATTTTAAGTCAGGTATGTGCAAGGAACAATGTGAAATGTTTGCAGAGTGAACTGACGAAAACTGTTATGTTAGGTTCCAAAGAACGTGGACTTACCAATTACAATCACCGATCCGAATATTTCGCAAACTGTCGCCAATCAGCAAGCGGCCAGTCTGGGAGCTTTGGAACTTACCCTTCCTATGCCAGACAGTGTGACTAGTAGTATTAACAGCCCATCCTACGCATATTCGTTGCCCAGCCTAGAAGAATCTGTTGGGATCTCGCAGAAGTCGTACAGCACCAGTATGCCCCTGCTCACTGAAGATGTTGTTGAGGTATGATGTTTCAAATTTTTCAGCTTGATGGTCAAATTATTTAAAACATTTTCAATACACTTTACGGTAGTGAAAAAAGCTATAAACAGTGATATGTACTTGTTGAATCCAAAAAGGCATGTTTGCGTTTTTTTAGCCGGAGGGCAGTGCCTCTTCAGATTCGGGAAAAATACGAATAAATACCAGGTTAAAAAGTAGCTCAAGTAGCTTTAGTCCAAATTTCGGTACTTTGCCGATGTTGGACCCGATGACATCTTCACAGGAAGAAATTGTAAAATCAAACACTTTTGGAGAACTCGATTCAATGTCGATGCTTGCAGATGACATAATAGACGATAGCCAATCTAGTATCGGTTCTACCAAATTACCAAGGTATAGCTAAACAGCCGCAAGCACTGTTAGTTTATCTTGAATTGAATCGTTTTTCAATTGCAGAAGTTCGCGCAGGTCGGAAGAACGCGACATTATTGATGAAGGTTTATCAACATTAGGTGGCGAAATGTGCAGTTCCCTGAGTGAACCTCCTCCAGATATGTTCGATTTGTCCTCAATTACACCAAGAGAGGAAGAGATTTCCAGCGATTTATCTTCAATTCCGGAAGCGGAGACGCTGTCCGTAAATAGTGAAAATTCGGGAGAAATACCTCTCCAACCTGCTATAATAGCTAATCTCAACGACTTAAAGCGGACGGGAGATGATTCAGAGGGATCCGATGACAAGCGACCGCGATTTGAATAATTGGTCAAACATTTTTAAGGGTGTATAAAATGTAAATTTTTGTAAACTGATCGAACTTCATCTTCTATACTGATTGATATTGGAGATTGTTCGTTTAAATAAGATGATCACGATATCGATAAGATTAAAATTAATATTTTTGGACTCATCAAAATTATTCTAGATGGTGTACAAGGCGGTATGAATGAAAATATCAAGTCCATTGTCCGTTTAAACGTGCAGACCTACAGCTGTTTCGATTTCGGTTGGACTAATATTTTATTAATTTTGTACATAGGTAGTTAGTGGCTACGTGTACGGTTTTGTACATACATTTAAAAATTTATAATTTTTATTCATATATTTTATATTGATCAGTTACATGAAGCAATTCGTTACAAGCTTATATTTTCAGTCCCCTTCTAGTAAGATGTAGTTTTCCTGTGTTTTCTATTATTTGATTTTAAAGTTTATCCTGACGTTAATTACCTTTCTGGAGGAGTGAGAATATATGCTCTTGATGCATAAACTTAAGCACAGTTAAGTGTAGTTGTCATTCGCTAGATGTTAGAATAATGCTAGTTGTAAAAGTCAATCAGTTGACCCCAAACATTACTAGAGTTGTTTATGAGGTTATCGGAATTGTCTTTGTAAGCAGTTAGATTAGACATTTCAAATGTACTTTTATTAAAGTAATTAATATATTATTTACAATAAAGTATATTTTGTGTTCATGATTTTTACTTTTAGTGATCCAAATATTTTCGTGTTTATCAATTATTTTAACGAAAAGTTTGGACACGAAATTAATATTTATTCTTTTTTATCCATTATAATGGTAACTTAATGCACTTTTATTTTACATCCCTATTTTGGAAACGTATTTCGGTTTCGCACTCTGTTCGCTTGCGTTTTTTAAAGTAAATTTGACCAATGAGCCGTTTTTTATGTTTCTATCGTTATTTTCTTAATTTCCAAGTTTTGGTCCGTGAAAGCTCAATGGCCATCACAACGACAATACTGGCCACAACAATATCTGTTTAACAGTTTGCTGCATCTGAATTGGTATTTGGTCAAGCTTAGCCGTTTTGATTGAAAAAATTGTCATGAAACATAAAATGAAAGACGAAATTAGAACCTTCCGCTCTTAAAAACCCAAGAAAACAGCCCTATCCTTTTCAACTTGCCATAAAACCTAAATATAGCAAAGTTATTGATTCTCGTGCAAAAGTTGTAGAGTTTTTTAAGGACGAATTTCGGATGTCTTTCACCTCAAACAGCTTCAGATATAAAAAAGTAAACCTGTAACCATAATATTTTAATAGATATAATTAGCATTGTAAATTGTTCTATTGATATATAGAATGAATCAGGTTTTTACTAACAAAGTTAGATAATCGATAATGACAATTTTTTTTGTATTGTTTTATATTTTCGCTATCTTGGAAGTACAGAGTGTTAATTATTTGTTGAGTCTTTTAACTATTAATTTTCGAGATAGTTAATTTATATTCTCCAGACTTGAAAGCTTAAAAATTACGTGTGGTTTAACGTACAATGATTTCAATTAAAATCAATCAATGGGGTTTAGGTTTTTCTGAGAATTTTAAACCATGCGTTTTTATCTGCAATTTTATGTTTTCACATTCCAATTCCGTCTGCATTCCAAAATTATATTTTTTGGAAAACAGACTAATTTTTTTCTATAAGAAACATTTTCTATTGCCTGTTAAAGTTTGCCTTGGAACAAATCCATTAATTTAAGTTCAATTTATTATTAACATTCTTGATCCAAAGCATCCGACATTCTGAGATAAGCATTGAGATAATAAAAGAAAGTAATAAAGTTGACTAGATTTAATTAACTGATTTTGTACTAGTTTCGTCAGCCTTCCTTTCAATTCTATTCAATAATTGGCTGACTATAAAATTTTATTCATAGAAAATGAAAAAAAAGCGTTTTACACAGGACTATGGCGCGCGTTGAAGCACCATAGTCCGGTTTCGTCCCGAGTCTACCTATTGGGCTCGTCAGTAAGGCGTGGTTAAGTAGGCCCCGCCTTAGATGCCTGATACAGCACATAAATTGGAAGTTATATTTGAATCAAAACGCCGCAGATTTTAGTGGGTGAGATATAGCTGGCGTCTCGGTTAGAGCTGCTACTTGAGAAGTGGCGGATAGAGTTCGCCACAGTACAATGAAGCAAAAAATCCGTCAAAGTGCGAGTCTATAGCAACTCCCGCTGTTGACAACAGTACCCTAACCTACCAATGTTTGCTTATTTATTGTTATTATTATGATTATTTAAATTGAGCTCTAAATTTGCTCTATTTGAAATACTTTTTACAAGTACCTTACAATCTAAGAGTTAATTATGACTTCCGAGCTGCACCAAATAAAGCGGATATTTGATTCATTCCAAATGCCCCTTTCAAAGGAATGGCTGGAAAGTTGCATAGAATGGTGCAAACAAGATAATTTACCTACAAATTACAGTATAAAGCATCTTCAGAATATGATATATGAGCAGTGGTTGTTATTAGGTAAGTCTATCTTACACAAGTCAGAAGGGCCGAATATTTAAGAACGTTTTTACATGCAATGTTCATGAGGATATTAAAGTCTAAAGATATTTCTTCAACAAAAAAAAAAAAAAAAGAAATTTTACGATTGCCCTATGTTAGGCGGCTTTGGAGCTACAGGGCTCTTAAGTGTAGATTTTTCTTTCTAAAATGTAAACCATTTAAATCATTTTGGAGAAATTTGGCGAAAAATGCTGCAAATGATCAGTGAAAAAGTGTGAAAGTAATGTAATGTTACAAGTTATTTTACATTTTTTCTTATTAAACATTTCTTCATTCTATAAAAAAATTTTATACCCTCTCGATCTTCTTGCTTAATTACATAGAACTAAGAAATGTAATAGTTTTCGCATTTCTAACCACATAGGTATTTTTCATACGTTATTACGATTTTCCTTTAAGCCATAGATTGGGACTAAATTCATCATCTAAATTTCGTTGAATTTTAGAAAATAAAATTCTCGAAAAAAGCCATTTCCTACTATTCAATCATATATTGTTTGTTAGATCTAAGAGATGTCGAGATACCTTCCTTACCTGAAGGCCTTAATTCAGAAAAGAAGTACACTTTAACGGGGGTTTTTTATCTTCAAGTGCTGCAAGTTATAGATATATCTAAACCTAAACTGTGGCAAATACAGAGGATACGAAACAAAGTGGGCAAAAATACGGAAGTTGAAAAAGACTTTGGGAAACGGGTGAGACAGCTGACAAACTTAAAAACATTATTTGGAAAGCAAAATAAATTCTCATGCAACTGGATTCGCTATAGAATGTATAATTTTATCAATATTCCATGACTAAAATTACAAATAGCATCGCAATAATAGCTAAAAGCCAGACAAGTTATTGGAGTTGAATACCCATGTGTAAAATTTAACACTATATGAACAAAAAAATTACATTAATGGATATTAGCCTAAACTGTAAACATATTATCAAAAAACATTTCATTTGCTTGAAGATTGGAGAATGTCCGACATCTATCACTCTAATCTCTTAATGTTTCCAACTAGCTGCAGTTATTTTTAATTTGCAAACTCTAATAGAGCTTAACGTGCTTATCAAGTTAGTAAAATACATGCGGACGATGTATAAATTTAGGTTCTACAACTCACTCTAACCGATGGAGTTCAAGAGGTTGAAGCGATGGAATTTAAAGCAGTTGCTTGTCTGAACATAAACTCTCCTCCGGGTACCAAGCTGAAAATTATAGGCCCTGTTATGGTTCGCAATGGACGAATTATGCTGGAACCTGCCCATGTTAAAGTAATCAAGCAAAGTTCTCCGGTGATTTCTATTTTTATGTTGCGCTAGAAACAATATTTTAGAACTTGGGCGGTTCAGTGGAAGATATTCTAGTGAAAAATGCTGCCGAAAATGTACTCGCTAGAGCACTGGGACTAGAAGAAAATCCAAATCCGAATACTATAGATGAAAAAATCTTAGATGTCACTGAAGGTATTTTTATACATATTTAATTTCATGAATGAAAATGGTTTTTACCATTTTTTAGGCCATAACAGTGTCCAGGAAAATCGCCAACAATTTAATGCACCAAACGAAAATTTACCTCGCAATCAACCAAATATTAATACACATGCAGCTAGAAATGTCCGGGCGGATTCCATTTCGAATCATCCGAATTCTAAGACAACAATTACGAAAGTTCAATCGAAATGTGAAATAGGCAACGATCTGTTACAGGAACCTCGGGAAGAGTTTAATACCTCTGTTAGTAGCAATTTGAAAAACTCCCATCGAAATATTCCTGATTCAAATAGGGATTGTTTATCTCCAGATCTCTTTGACGAAATGGAATTTGACGATTCAATACTAAATCAGCATTTAAATGAAATTGATATACCGTCAACAAACGTCCGTAATGCACAGAAAAGTAACTTTACTGAACCGAAACATATTAAAGATTTAAAAACAAATTCTGCTGCGCCCAATGCAGAAGGAGATTGTGTGATAGTATTAGACGACAGTTTTGATGACATAGATATTGATTCGCATTTAGATCATCTAGATGAACGAATGGCAGATTTGCCGTGTAGTACTCAAGTAAGGAAGGAGTTAAAAAATAATATTCATAGTCCTGAATTGAAACGTCCAAAAAAGCGAAATTTGGCCACATCTTCCAAGAAGTTATTCCAGAGCAAATTAGAATTTGGAGTTCCATCCAGTAGCAAGGTTGGATCAAGTGCTGTCGCCAGAAACTCCAATATAAATCAAATGTTTCAAGATCGGCATTCTCCGGTTGCTATAAAACCGTCCAAACCCATAATAGAGGTGCAAAGCTCCTCCAAAGACAGAGAAAAATCCGTTTCCAGCCAGTTCAAAAATCAGCAACAGTCGCCAGATACACGGAATGTGATATCAGTACAGAAACTTCTGAGTGTCGTGCCAAATGTTAGTAAGGGAAAATTTAAAATCCGCGGAAAATTCAAGCGTGTAAAGGAAAAACTGAAAACAACTGCTACTAGTCTTTATTTGAGCATTATAGTAGCAGACGAAACAGGAGAGGTAACAGTAGAAGTTGATTCGAGTATAGCCACAAAGTTTGCGCAAATTACACTAGAGAGATTGGAACAGTTGCGCCAATTAAGTCTCCAGTCCGATGAGCACGCTAAACCAGAAATTATGCAGGTAAGAAATCTGTTAAAAAGTCCTAGTTTATACTTTAGATTTTCCAGCGGGTTTTCACGTTATCCACTCTATTTGAAAACTCTTTTCAGGCTTTGAGAAATCTTCACCTTAAACTAGTCGCATTGGATAACATATTGGAGCTGCAAGTTACTAGAGGCGAAAAATATCCTGTTGTAATTAACGTGCTGGACAATTCCTGAATCAGTCTATCGTTTAAGGTCACATTTGTGTAGGATACGGTTATTTGTGTGCCATGGAATAAAATGCAAACTTTAATAAATAATACGTGTATATATTTTTAAAAACGACGTATACGAAACCGATATTACAATGATATAATTAATTTAAAAGCAGGAAGCTTACTTCATACACAGCTTATCGTCACACAATATGTTCACCGCTTCATATACAATTTATCGAACGTTTTACAATCAAATTTTTAGTGACTTGGACTGTAAAGAGCAACGTCTTCTGTTGCAACAGAAAAAGAGGGGTTTGAGTGAAAGCTAGGGTATTATACAAATGTTTAAGAAATTGGTCCAAAATTATACTCTACTAAGGGTTCGAAAATATTGTTGTAAGTACAAATAGGTACATCAATCAAAGCATTACATATACTATTTTCTGCAGACAAATATTAAAGGCACAAAACTCGTTAATATTATTTTGTTGACATTAAACTAAGATTAATTTCCTGGAATGTAACTTTTTTTAAAAGTATAGTAAATGTCTTATAAAAGTACTTCATAAAATACTGAGGCATTATAGCGTACCTTATAAACTATTGGCTTCATTCAAAATCAAATGCACACAACACGATGTTTTACTCTTGCGTGAGCTGAATGACTGTATCACTTAGAAAATAGGGTTTTACTTAAATCACAGATAATCATGCAGTTTGTAATGATTTATTACAAAACTAAAGAAACTACGTGGAAACCATTTGAAGCCCAGTCTATTCAAATTTATCATTGGCAATGAGGAACTGAAGGAATCCTGGAGATAAATGTATGCTGCCTTTTCTCGAATTATCATAAAAATCTTCCAAAACATGCAAAAATAAACCGAATATTGGCAAATATTTAATGTGTAGAAGCATTCATGATAAAGTTACCGTAAAAATATATTACGGATCTGTGAGTTCTTGTAAATGGAGTGTTGCAAAAGAATGTGTATAAATTCAGGAATGTTTCAAGCAAACATTAAGCTCCAAACAAATGGTTTTGATGCAGCAGCTTTTGGTTTTAAATCATCATTAATCAGTTGATGTTGTCAATTGAAACTTCCAATTTTGGCTGTCGGCACCAGTTAGGAAATCACATAGTTTCAAAACAGTATATCACTAGTACTGCCTGAACTGAACAGTACCGGCTCTACAGTTTCCTCCAAAAGTACATCCGCTTGGGACACTTCTTGGTTCACTTGAACCCCAACCTTTGGAGCTGTGGATGTTTCTTGAAAGCTCTTTGTTACCCCTAGTTGGAATGTTTCGGTGGTTTTAGGCGTGTATGTGGCCAGCGAAGAACCTGCATCAAGGGGTTTCACGGTTATTTGGCGAATAAATCAATGTTGGATATCACATTTGGATTGAAATCCATCCGACTCACCAGAAAGTGTTGGAATGGTGTGACCTACTTGAGCAGTGCCCGCTAATGTGGATATTTGGGCCTCATCCAACAGCAGGGATGTTTCGGAAGGATACTCGTAAATATCGGCATCGTCGACGAAAGAAATCTTTAACTGCAACAAATCATTAGACAATTTTAGACATTTGGTCTTACATAGTAGTTTATAGTGAGAAAGTAATAAATACAATTGGAAGCTAATTGTTTTAGCACACAAAGTAATCGATTTGCAATATGCGGTTACAGGGTAGAGTGTTTCAATAATCATCACTGATGGCATAATTCGAAGAAAAAATATTTGTAAAACATCGAAATTTTAGAAATCTTCAAATTACCTTATATGTTTATCTTATCAGTCCAACAATGACATTTTCATGATGATAAATTTACGATTTGCTAATATTTATTTATGGATATGACATAGGTAACATTTATCTTTCTATCCGAAGTATCGCATTGAACTTAAAAGGTGAGATGATTCACAAGATCGGTTTTCTAAACAACAATGTTACAAGTTAAACGGACGACTGATCGAAAGCAACTCAAATACACCAATTACAAAAATCCCAGCACTCATTACCGCATCAATTACAGAAAAAATGCAATGTAAAGCAATCAGGAGTTTTGCGGTGAAAATGCTATAATTTGTAATTTTGATAATGGAAACGCTATTAGACATAATTGGGTAGTTTCCAAAATTTACGCAATAAATACAACAAAGGCGCAATGTTCTCACTTGCAGACCTCAATACTATGAGCTAATACACCTTTTATGATTGTGATTAACAAATTAAACAATCATCGCACTGAATCAATTGGAAATTAGGCAATTCGATCTTCTTCCATGCAATTTGCTGATTTGCAATGGAGATTCTGAACGCGACTTAAGTTATGGAAATTCCAAATGATTGATCAAGAGTTTTAACCATACACTTTTTATAATTAAATGTAAAAAGGTGAACGTAAGTTCCGCCTACTAATTGAAAATGCAGATTTTTTAAGCCATTAAAATACGACCATCAATAAAGTATAACAAGGATAGTTTCTCCTACACATCATGTGGCCTTTAGTTCGGAACCGGTCAGAAATCTAAAATAAAATGTTTCCAGTTTCTCTCTTCAGGTTTTTGTAACGTTTCGTCTCCTGTTTGAATATTTGCATGCAATCTGTTATGAGTATGAATTATTCATTGACGTTTTTCCCGTTTTTAGCACCCGCATTTAAATTTATGGACAAATTGACTCATAAGAAATTGCGTAGGTGTTCGCGTCTAATTTTCTTCAAAACAATTAAGTTTGATATAAAGTGTCTCAATAATAGTCAACCAATTATTTTGCATTATTTATCGGTACAATTTTACGAAAAAAGCAAATATTGAATCAAAAGTAATGAAAATGAGATCTAAGTTTCGATTGCCACCAGAAATCAAAAAACGCTGTAGCATTGGAAAGTACCTATGTAGAACAAAATTAGAGAAGGCATGTAAAAAAAATTGTGAAGCATTTTGTCCTGAAATGACAAATACGAGTGGCCAAAATACATATCTGAAAATATCAGTTGAAAGAGTAAAGTATAGAAAAATCGAATTAGTTCTGCTATCCCTAACAAATCCACAACAAAGTGTTTCATTAATGACTTCCCATTTAATTAGTCGGGTATAAATGATACTAATAAAGTTGCTTTAAAAATGCATTCGGTTGTGCAATCAAATATAATAGTCAGGAATAACAACATTTTATCTAAAAACGAACATTTTACATTATCTGAACTGTTATCGTTTCCAGTTGGTTTATCGCCTTCTGGTATATAAAATTTGCATTAATTTATTCAAGTATTGACTAAATGCTTATTTATTTCATTTACAATCGCGATAAAAGTCTTATTAACCAAGCGATTATAGTCAATAAACTGGTGCACATGTACTTTTCAATTTGAACATTTTCTTGGAAACTTCCGGCATTTATCAAAGAAAAGAGTAGAATTAGTATCATTAGCAAATGACCACACATAAGATAATATTAAAGTCGGACCTGTAAAAGACCACGAAAATTTATGCGACGTATGTGGGCTTTGGGTAGGCATGGGTAACACTGTGTTGAGTTGCGCTTTTGATGCCGCTCTGTGAGTTGGTGAGTTAAAAATCATTGCGCCTCATTGCGCCGCACCTCGAATTCCGTATGTGGCGGAATAATTGTTTTATTATTATTGTATAATTTGTTATAAAGCACTAGGCTTACGATGTACCTATACAAAATTTCAGCAGCTTTCAATAAAAAAACGACTTTTTTAACATAGTAGATCAAAACATAAGCATTTTGCAATATGTCCTTATAGGAACTTTTCGAATTGAATCTCTACTATCGATTCAAATACACCCTGTATATAAAACTGCCAGGAAAACACGTACATTTTTTAAAAACCTACCCGGTATTTTTTAACTGAATTCATCACCGCCAATAAACTTAAACACCACATGTAATTGAACGATAATATAAATGTTTTAAATTCCATTTTCGAAACCGGAAGGAAACACATGTTTAAAGTATCGTCGACCTCGACACTAACAAATGTATAACGCTTTCTATACGCGCTTCCTTTGTGCTGAAACCTTTTCGGTTTACACTTTTTTTTTGATATGCAAAACATTCGACCTAAATCATGCTGGCGAATGGAAATCGAAAAATTGTTTAACTAATGGGAATATTATAATTAAAGTATCTGAACTTGCAACAAGGATAAACTACAAATAATTATACCGAACAATAACTACATCCTGTGGCAGAGAAGGTTGGGATAATAATTGATTACTTTATATCAGTGATCTCTTGAAATGAAGGTTTACGCTGGCAATAAAATTCAGCATTAATGCCTTAGAAGAGAGCCAACTGATGAAATCAATGATGTTTCTCAAGAATGGAACAATTCTCCTAACAAATTACTTTACAGTGATTTCATGTGCAAAGTTAATTCCAAATCGTGATTTTGCGGTATATTTTAGCAAGACAAATAGCCAAGTGGTCTAGCTTGTTATTAAAACTTGAAGACTTGCAAGCTGAGTCAGAGTCTGTATTATCTACAGGGTGATTCACAACCTTATGGACACAGAGCAGGGACGTGTAGAGGACCTCAAAACAATTCGAGTTGCCATTTAAGTTTTTTTCTCAGTCCCATGGTTAGTGAGATACAGGGTTTTAAAGTAAAAAAAAATATATTTTCTCCTACAGTTTATGATATATTTTCATTCATCATACACCATTTCATTAATCTCTTTTCATATCGTAACCACCTGTCAAGAAATAGTTCGAAAAAAAAATTTTTTGGTGAGTAAAACTTGCAATTTTTTAGAAATTTTACGTTTTATTTTTTGTCTCGAAAACAAAGTTTTCTATCGTAAAAAGTTATTCTTTATCAAATATCGGGCCCATCGAGCACTATCCAACAGTATTCTGTCAACTTTCCAGCTTACGTAGTATTCGAGAAACTCGCGAAAATATGGTTTCCAAAAGCTGCACATCTCAGTAACCAAAAGAGCTGAACTGAATTTACTGCCCACGCTAAAAATTTGAGCAAAATATCTCATAAACTGTAAGAGTTAAAGAGAAAATACGAATATTTTTTTCAAACTTTGACACCCTGTATCTCGTTAAACATGGGCCTGAGAAAAAAAACTTAAATGGAAACTCGACTTGTTTTGAAGTCCTCTACACGCAGCAGGGCTCTGTGTCCATAAAGTTGTGAATCACCCTGTATATTGCCTTTCATTTCGTTTTTACGTCTTTTTATTATGTATATATTTAGCCCGTAGAAGAATGCCTTCTTTTCAATGGTTCTAGAGTTAGTTTTCTCTGAAAATGTATGTTTTAACTTTTTCAATACAAAAACCTGCCACTTGATTTCAAGTTTTTTCGTTCGTATAGAAGAATATCAGTCAGATATACAGTATGGCCAAAGAAGGCTTGTACTCATTTTATACAGGGTTTTTATTTCAAAGCGAAACATCTTAAATATGAAGCGTTCTCTTTAAAATGATATGATGATGTCGTATTTTTTGTATTCTGTCTAATTCTTCAAATTTAAGGTACTAAAGATGGTTCTTTTTGAAATGAAAGCCCCGCATATTGTATGTATGTATAATATACAGACTCGTGGAAGAAAATGCTTCAAAATATTTAAAAATGGAATTTTCCACTCTTTTTTGCGAACTTTGAAACGTCGATCAGAGAGTGGCAAATGAAGAAGTTCTCATTATTTAGATTTACCGCTTTGTTTGAAAATTAGGATGCCTCATAGAGGCAGAAAAATGCAAACCCATAGAGAATAATTGAAAACAGTTCAATTTTTCACGATAAATAGCAAAAATAGAAAAATTAAAACAATTATGTTATTAGATTACTTCGAATGTATTCTGCAAAAAAATGTTAATACGATTTCCACGTAAAATAATAAAGTGAAAAACAGCGTGTCTGCATTAACAAAGTATTGAAACTTGAAAAAAACAAAATTGGGCCCATATGTAAATGTGATTTGTTATTTTAAATATTTATTTCCATTTTTGGCTTTCTATAGGTAATTACTTAGTTGCTAAAGTGTTCAATAATATTTGCCTATTTCCAAAAAGTTGTAACTGACTGACTGTAAGTGAAAAATAATTTGGAAGAGTGCAGGTTTTTGCGAATATTTGCATAGTTGTATACTCGTATAGAGAAGTTATTAAGGTTTTAACAACAATTAGCTTGCGCTTTAAATAACTTATCAGATTATATCTTTTTGGAAGCCGAAGTAGGTACTAAACGAGGACCTTAAATACACATTGGTCTTTTTTTGACCAGCTCAAAAAAACATACTCTTTCACATTTATGTTTTTCACACTTTTACACCTGACAACAAAGCTTTTTGCTACGGTTTAGGCTGCTAGTAAATTATAATTTTTTTATACTGTTTTTACATAACAATGTTTTTGAGTTTCGTGGTTCGAAAACAGTGGCAAGTATGCAGACACACAAGAAAATGTTACCATTTCTAAAAAATATCACCCTGTGGATTCTCATTACGATTTGGTATGCCTAATGATGTAAATCTCATAACAGAATCAATATAATAAATAATATAAGTTTT